GTTTCTATTTTGGTGGCGCGCTTGTCCAGGGCATCCGGAGCTCTGTTTCCGTGGAGCCTAGCAAACTCCACGTGATTGTTCGTGTTGTTTTGTTTGTAACTGCAACTCAAGCAAGTTTTCCAGCCTGCACCACGACCATCTTCGGTGTAAGTAAACAATCTTTAAATCTACCATTACGAGTCCGTGCCTAATTCTAGCGTGTCGCCCGTTCTCTCCGACCCCGCGTGCCCGGGCTGCTGGCCACAGCCCGTGCAGAGCACAAAAAAGGGCCCGGCTCACACCTGGCCCGCACAGTTTCAAAGTACCATCCCATTTCGTTTCATCGAAACTGTTTTGCTGTTTTGACTCATTTTGACATTTCGCCCATAGGCTATAGTGAGGAATCATAAAAATGCCTAAAATGCTGTCATTTGCTGCCTGATTTGGATGCCGTTTCATCGAAACTGTTTTGCTGTTTTGACTCATTTTGACATTTCGCCCATAGGCTATAGTGAGGAATCATAAAAATGCCTAAAATGCTGTCATTTGCTGCCTGATTTGGATGCAAATTGCAGGGTTGGTAGCCCCTTCTGAGGGCATGATGTCTGCCAAGTTTCAAGGAGATAGGTGAAGAGGTTTCTCAGAAACTGCACCTCAAAGTCTTGAAAGCAAAATTTGCCGGCAGCGGCAGCCTCCTGTCATCCGGCACGCAGATCCAGGGGCTCGCATCCCAAGAAAGGCTGCCGGGCTGTGCCAGACTCCTCCTGGGGGTACAGGACCCTGGATCTGCATCGGATGACAGGAGGCTGACGGGAGCCTGCCGCTGCTGCCTGGGACCAGCTGTAACAGGGAACCCTAGCCCTGTTACCAGAAAGCAGGCTGGTCCCTTTAAGACTAGAACTTTCTGGGCACAGCATGCTGGCAGGGTAGGGGTTAAAATCTGAGTCTGGCTGGCTTGTCAGGTGACTGGAAGGGGGAAGGCCAGAACTATAAAAACCCTGGCCTTGGTGGTAGTGAGAGGCAGCAGCTGAAGGGGAAGGAGGTTGTACTTAAGAGTTCTACAGAGAGGCTTGGTTGCCTGTCCAGCTGCTGTGAGAGGGGAACTCCTGAGGACTCTCAGAGAAGCGGCAATAGCCCCACAAGGAGCAGCATAACAGACGGTAGGAAGCAGAAGCACAGAGCCATGGAAAAATGTAAGCTGGCATGTGGCCTTCTTTCATTTTTATTTTTATTTTTATTTTTTTTTGTAGTTACAGCCCATGGACTTACTGCTTATATTTTTTTGGTGGATAAGCGGTGGCTTGTGGATGAGGATGTAGGGGAGGAGGAGGCCTCATTAGAGCCTTGAGTGCAGTCATAAAAGGCCAATGGGCCTAGTTCACTAGTGTGTGCAGCCGTATAGGGCTAGCATCTGAGCTGGGTGCAGGACTTCTAAGCCAGGCCTCAGTGGGGGAATCTTGGCTAGTAGCCTGAGCTTAAAAAAAACCTTGGTGACCTTGGTAGTGGGAGCTCTGGGCTGCTGCCCAGCCTTGAACTTGTAGCCTTCTGGCTCCATGGACGGGCCTCTGGACCAGAGAGCCTGGGCTCCATATTGGAAGCAAAAGGAGGGCCATGAGCTGCAAGAGGGTTAAGGAGCTAGAGCCTCAGAGTCAAACACCATCTGGTGGGTTTAGATGGGTAGGCCTAGCTAGAGTAAGATGTGGGGGCAAGGCCCATGGTGGCTGAGAACCCCAACATAGAAGTACAATAGGCAGTCTCCCGCTTGTAAGAACATCTAAATAATATTTATATCAAGACATGGTAGGAAAGTAAAAGTGGGATACAAGACAAAAGATGGAAGGGAAACATTAAGGGACTTCAAGGGCACCCCTCATAGGCCACAGATAGCAAATAAGAAAAGGAAAAAAAGTGCTGCTGGGGAGGGCAACCTGTTATACTGCTGCTGGGCGCAGCCTGCACCCAGCAGCAGGGAAGACACATGCTGCCACTGGCCACAGGCAGCAGCAGCAGCCTTCTGTCATCCAGGCCAAGATCCAGGGCCCTGCACCCCCAGGAGGGCTGCGGGGCTGTACCGGACTCCTCCCAGGGGTGCTGCACCCAGCACTGGAGAAGATTGCAGCTGCCACCTGTCCCAGGCAGCAGCAACAGCCTCCCCTCATCTGGCACACAGATCCAGGGGCTTGCACCCCTAGGAGGAGTCCAGCACAACCTGGCAGCCCTCCCAGGGATGTGAGCCCCCAGATCTGCACTCCGGATGAGAGGAGGCTGCCCTGTCACCTGGGACTGGCGGTAGGCACAGGCTGTGGTTGAAAATGAACCAATCGGAGAGTGGGGGGGTGTTAGTCCTCTCTCTGGTCCAGTTCTTTGCTTCACCCCTGGGTATGGGCAGGGAAACCCTCTCCCCTGCAATCACCTGATATGTGGGGAAGGGGAAATGCCCCACCAATCACCTTGAGCCTCCTCAAAACTGGCACGCTGGGCTGCCACTAGCAAGCCCACCACACTCACAAAGACCTATTTAAAAGCTGCCGAAAAGTGGAAATAGAAAAGTGAGTGGTAAAGACTCGCTCCAGAGTAGCATACTAATAACCTCTCCTCTGTAGATGGGTATTAACTGATCTTTTTATATTAATTATTTTTGTACATATGGTTAAGAGGGAAGATGTACTGTTAGAAATTCTAATTTGGAGACAATCCTTCCCAAGCAGAAGCTTGCTTACTGCTCCCCAAATAAAGCTTGGGGTTTTTTTACTTGTTCTCATTCATGTATGCCTGTTTTTAACCCAGTGGCCACCAGAGTGGGGATCTGTAATAGACTGCCAAGTCAGGAAGAAGTACTGGATAAAGCACTCTTCAAGGGAAGCACAAGAAAAAAAGGCTAGAGACCAGTGTCTGCACAAGGAGCTTCCAAGAGGCCTCAACAGCAAAACAAAAGTGTACAACCAATGGAACAATGAAGAGGCAAACCAGCAAGGAAACAAACCAGAAAATAGCAAGAACTTGCATGGACAAAATCAGGTAGGCAAAGCTAAAAAATGAACTTCACCTGGTAAGAGATGTTAAAGATGGCAAGATTAGGTTCTATGAATATTAGGGATGTGCGAAATGGGCCATATTCGACTTGGATTCACCTGAATCGGGGACAGTGATTCAATTCATTGATTCGGATCACTGTCCCTGATTTTGATTTGGCCAAATCTGAAGATTCGATGCTGATTCAGAGAATCAGCGATTCGGCCATAAACACAGCTTTAAATGGTTTTGGGTTTTTTTGTTTTTGTTTTTTCTACATACCTCAAGGTACCAGGCACAGATCATGAACGCTGCAATGCTGGGGCAGATGGAGCATCCCACAGGAGTGTGGGAGGGCCCCCCCTACAATGGGGGCTCCCCCATGACCCCCAGCTCGGCAATCGGCCATGGGGGGACCCCAGGTGCCCCCCAGATCCAGGAGGCACCAGTTGCCAAGCTAGGGGTTGTGGGGAGGCCCCCCAACACGCTCCCCGTGGACCCAGAAGTGCTGCGGAGCATGCTGCAGAGCCCACCATCAGAGCATGCTGATGGTGGGCTCTGCAGCACTGTTGGCAGAGCTCTGCATGACAGATTAGTTCTGGGGTGCTGCATGCACCCCAGAACTAATCATGCCAAACATACTTGATCTCCATCTTTGACAAAATAAGTAGATAGATGAAGAGAACGCAGGGCACGTGGTGTATCTGGACGTCAGTGTTGGTTTCTGACCGAGTCCCACATAAACAAATAAAGAAATTGAACAGATGTGGGGTAACTAAAACTACTACTGAGTGCATCTACACATGTTTTACTGCACAGGAGACTAATCAGCTCTGCAGTAAAGCATCACCATCTACATGTGCACCAATACTAGGCCACAGTAAACTAACTAACTCCACCGTAAGATAGTGCTGTTGGGGACAGTCCTATCTTACAGCGGACTAGGTAACTGCACTGAAACGCATGTGTAGACAGTGACAGGGGCTGGCTGGGACACAAGGGTGCTAAAGTGTGGGGGCTACCTACTAGCTAGCCACATTGCTCCACACTCTCAGCACCCTCATGCCCCAGCCAACCCCTCCACTGTCCACCGCTGCCACCTAAAGCCCAGTGCTGACCCCCAGTGCCCCCTGCCAGCCCAAGGCCATTCTTCCTCAGCTCAAATTGCTGCTGTCCTTGGCACACATGTAGATGCTGAGCCCAAGAGCAGTTTCTTCCAGATCAAATGACTCTGGAGTTTATTGCATCGCATTAATTGCACGTGCAGATGCATGCCTAGGTGGATAGACAGCTGGCTCAATGGCAGCTAGCAAAGGGTAATTTGGATCCATATCAGAATGGCAGGAGGTTACAAGTGGAATCCAACAATGGTCTATCTTGGGTCCAGTGCTGATCAACATATTTAATAGCAAGCTGTAGGCTAGAACAGAAAGCTTCTTAAGCCAATTTGCCGATGACACAAACATGGGAAGGACTGCAAACATGATGCAGGACAGGAGCAGAATTCCAGATTCTAATCATTTGGAAATCTGGGCGAGATCCAACAAGATAAAGTACAATGCTGACAAGTGCTCATTATCTCCCAGTGATCCATGTGGGGGGAAGCAGGAGGGCTTCTAGGCTTCCAACTAGGGAAGAATAATCAAAACCACAAAAACAAAGTGGATGATACTTGGCTGGAGAGCAGCACCATGGAAAAAGACCTAGAAGTCTTGGTGGATCATAGACTCAATAGGACTCTGCAGTGTGATGGCTGTGCATAATTATGTTGTCATGCAGGAATAGCCATGGCCTGTACACCTTCTTCATCCAGATGTGTACTAATATGAAGCATCCAGAAATGGAGCTGGCCAAAGCCTATGATTCCTGGACTTAGACTCAGGGATAGAAAAAGGCCCTGTGTGTATATCCCTCTTTTGCCCCATAGCTCAGAGTCCACAGGCAGGCAACAAAGGATAAAGAGATTGAAAGGTAAGCCATACAAGGAGAAGTTAAAAGAAATATTCATGTTTAGCTCATGGAACAGGCAATTAAGTGGGGGCATGATAACGTAAAGCGTAGGGACAATACCTTTTGGCCACTGCTGCAGAGAGTAGGATGCATACCAGTCACTTAAAATAGCAGCAAAGTAGATTTTAGACTGAACACCAGGAAAAACTCCTTCACTGTTAAAGCAGTAAGGCTGCCTGGAATAGACTGCGGGAGGAAGCTGTGGAAGCTCCTTCATCAGAGGGTTCAAGGTGAGGTTGGTAAGTAGTGGTTGGGATGATTAAGGCATAGATGGCTATGCCTGGAGTGTTTTATGAAAAGCAATGGTCAGATACCCGGAAATCCGTGCTCTTCAGATGGATCACTGGGAGATAGCAAGAAGAACATTGCAGGTGGAAATTAGGGAGGACCATGCTGAGTAGCAGGAGAATGAAGCAGAGCTCCATAACTAGCTTAGTTATGAAAAAAAATTAAAGCAGCTGTGATAATTTTATCTGGGGATACAAAAAGAGGAGTTCTGGCTGTCCAGTTGGAGGGTGCAATGTATGGAATTATGTTAGCTGTCCCCAGGCTTCAGAGCAGAATAGAGGATGCTTGATTTCTTTTTCTTTTTCCACCTGGGCTTTTCTGGATCCCAGATGGGGCTGGGAAGGGAATTTTTTCCTCCTCCTGTGGCTACAGCTGTTGGCAGGGGGGAGGAGGGAGTTGCCTTTTTGAGAAACATAGGTTGTTAGTAGCAGCCAAGATTGGGGATTTTGACTATGTGCCAATGCTCCTGCTGGAACTAAAAAACCAGGTTTTTGGTTTGAAGAGCTTGCCCCTCAATTCAGGGTCGGCCTCATCACCACATTTGTGATCAGAAAGAAATTTTACTCTATGATCAGACTGGTACAGATTTGGGGGGGGTTGCCTTCCCCTGTAGTGGGGTTAGGCATGGCCCTCTGACAGTCCTCATCTTCCTGTTTTACCTGTTCAAGGTTAGGGTGCTGCTGTTGTCTTGTAGAAGTGCACCAGGGTTGATTGTTCAGTTTTAAGAATAGGTTAGACAAGGACTTGTATGAGATGGTTTTGACTTGAGCAGCAGATTGGACTAAATGACTTCCAGAGGTCCCTTCCAGCCCTACTTTTCTATGATTCTATAAACTTCCTCTTTTTAATGGCAGCCTTTTAAGCATTTGAAAACTGCTGTCATGCCCCCTCACCCCTTTAATCATCATTTCTCCAAACTGAACAAAACTAGTTCTCTCAACCTTTTTTTCAAACCTTGCATTTCAACTTCATTGTCATCTTCACTGCTTGCCTCCAGTTTCTCCATTTCCTTCTTGAACTGCTGAGACCAGAACTCCAGCTGAGGCCTAACCAACTCTGACTACAGTAATGCTATAACCTCCTGTACTTAACATATGATACTTCTGCTAAAGCAGCCTCAAATTGCTTTTTTTGTTTTTTGGTGGGGGTTGGTGACTTCATCATGTTGATGACACTTGTACATGTGACAGGGGTGTATTCCCCTAAATTGAAACCAGTGCAGTTTTAGTTGCATGCTTAAAACCGACCATTTTAATTTAGGGGCTTCCATTACTGTTATGGCAAGGGGCCGGATCCTTTTTTCCGTGGGCCTGCCTGGGTCCCGCAACTCGGAAGTGAGCTACAGGGGCCCCAGTCCTTCCCTCTGCAGCAGTGGTGCCCCCCACGGCCATCCATTGGTCGGTGCTGCCCCAGCTCGGGCTTGGGGAACAGTTGGATTGGGCTAGGTGCTGCCTCCGAACTGGGACAGCTCTTGCAAGCTAGGCGCTTGATTGGGTGGCCTGGTGGGGCACTGCCGCTGCAGAGGGAAGGACCAAGCCCCTGCAGCTCAGGGCCCACTGGCAGCAAACCCCCAGCCGCGGGAGAGGTGGGCAGGTTCCATTTGGGGGAGGGGGGGAACCAGTTCAGGCCCCTCATGGCTTTTTTTCCGGTGGAGCCTGCCTGCTTGAGCTGCCACCAGGCTGTGCCACCCTTAAGCTGCAGGTTGGCCCAGTCCTTCCCTCCGTGGCAGCAGTGCCCCCCCAGGACCACCTGCCCCAGCTCAGAGGCAGCTCTGTCTGATCCAACTCTTCCAAGCCTGCCTGGGGAGCAGCAACTAGCAGGCTTCCACTGTTTGGGTTTGGGGAAGAGTTGGATTGAGCCAGGTGCTGCCTCTGACCTGGGGCAGCAGCCATGCAGCTAGCAACCCACCTGGGTGGCCTCAAGAGGTGCTACCACCTTGGAGGGAAGGACTGCCCCCACCAGAAGCTCAGGGGGTATGTGGTGAGAGGCCTGATCCTCTTTTTTTTTTTTTTTTTTTTTTTTTTTTTTGTGGAACCTGTCCACTTCTCCCATGGCCAGGGACCAAGCTGCTGGCAGACCCTGAGCTGCAGGGGGCCTGGTCCTTCCTTCTAGGTAGAGCAGGTAGCGGGGGTTTACCAGTGGTCACCAGAACTGGGCCATCAAAATAGCTCGCTTTTTAACCAGGGAAGTTCAGGCAGCCTACCAGATCTTGAGGCTGCTTCATCCCAAGATTTATAAGATTCTTAAGGCTGCTATATTGAACCACCTGGGTCTGATGAAGGAAACGTATTGATGTAGGCTTAGGCAGGAGATATTTAATTCTGACTCTCAGCCTTGAGCAGTTGTTCAAAGGCTAAAGGACTTCTGCACCCACTGGTTAAAACCGGAATCATGCACATTATTTGAAATAATGGAACTAATAACATTAGAACAATTTTGCTCCATAGTCTCAGTGGGACTTCAGAAGTTGGTCAACTGACAATGTGTGTCCAGTCTGGATGATGCTCCCCTTCTGGATCCCTTGCTTTGAACCTGTAACACTCACTCCCATTTCTGTTTTCTTTTTAATTTGTCTCAAGCTATCAGTTGTTGCATTCTCAGTGACATCCCTTTTTAAGGGGGATTTATAGATGTTTGTGGTGGGCCCGGGCCCATGTTCACCAAACACAATAAATTGGCCAGTCTAGATAAGGCCACCCATATGGTAG